TTTTTTTTTTTTTGATTATAACAAAAAAAAAATATTTTCTCTTTGTGAAAGATTATATCATGTTCCGCAACTTTTTATTCTTTTCTACATGCAGTTTCTTTTTCTACGTGCATCATCCACTGTTCAATGTTCAGTCTAAAAATTTTAGCAAACTTTTTTTGCCCTACTTTTCCCTTTGAGACTACTTTTTTTTTTAAAATTTTGCAGCTGAAACTCATTTGAAATACCTGTTTTAACACATAATTTCTGAAATATAACCCTAAAAACTTTTTCGATACAGTCGTTCTCTGCTCCTGTTTCTTCACTGATAAAAGCTTTTTTCCTTATGCAACATCGTACAGAAAGCGACGAATGATCAATTTCTTGTAAAAGTAAGTATCGTACCAAATGATTTACAAATAACTCATACAACAGAATATCAATACACACAGAAAATGCTTTGTAACTAACAGCTCTTCAAATTCGTACTCTTCACCTGTCCTCGTCTTCTTCAAAAAAAACTTCTTACAATGTGATTTTGCTTGTATGCCATTCATAAACCTAAAACATTGCAAAGTCAAAGCCTACTAAAAATCCTGGTAATTGTGAAACAAACGACTGCTAGGTATAGGAAATACTATAATTTTATTTGCAACAAGACACACATCTGAGGCTAAATTTTAAGGTGTGGAACCAATCATTATTAATTTACTAATGGTGTTCATGAGGTCACCGGAAACCAACAAGATTAACGACCTAGTAAGAGAGCTTTACAATATTTTAGAAAGCATTTTACGTTGAACAATACTCGTGCAAAATTGCCAGCAATTTTAAATAACAATAAATAACACTTGGTTTGGATACAAACTTCAGTGACACTAACGAATGAAACTTTTTTTAGCGATTTAATGACAGTATTTATAAGGAATACGTTCTCTTCTTTTGGTTTCAATTGCTCCATAGAAAATATATAAAATAAAAAGGTCAATATGTTCCACCAATGCTTCAAGACGTCCCACAGTAGCTAACGACAACTGCAATAAAGATATTTGCCAGGATGAGAACCTAAATCTGTCACTGCTTGATCAAACTACAACGAAGTCGGCACATTCCAATTAGAGGAGAAATAATCGGAGAATAATTTTGACTTTCATGCACACTATTTGACAAAAAATTTCCAAGAAGTCGTTTCACAAAAAAAACTGGTAAGTTAACCTATAGTATCTTTGTCTAATTGCCATCTCGTCAAAAGCTTATCTACCAAATAAGCTGTAAAAAAACAATTTTTTTTTAAATTAAGCAATTTATTTTTTTTTTTTTTGTTCCAGCCACTGCACTGTTCGCGAGAGGTTGCTACTACAAGATCATACATGCTACAAAAGTCGCTTGCTTCCAGTACGAATAGATTTGAAGATTACTAATTGAACTCCCTTTCTGTAATTACTAATATAAAAAAAAAAGAAAAGAGGCATGGATTCTATCAAAACTAACATTGTCAGTTTCAAGAAGCTTATCCGTCCTCTTTAGTTCTATTTTCTAGATAGATGTCTCTTATAAAGAAAGTCCTCAACCTTTTTTTTCTGCCTTTCTTTTGCATCTTAACTTTGTTCCATTTTCATAATTGCTGTCGCAAAAATACTAAATTTCGCTGTTAGCTTTTACCTTTTTTTCACATTTCCTGCCAGTTACCTCCACTCTTTTTACTACAGATGTCCAAATATCAAAAATTATCCTGGACGAAAGAAGAAAATACAAAGTTGAAGCAACGGGGTAGCAAACTTCGGAGATTTCTGATGATTCGCGACAAGAAGAATACAATATTGTTATTACAGCTTGAGAAATCGCGAAGGTGTAGCTGTAGGATTTATTCTATGTTTTTGCTTCTAATTCAAATAACAAAAAAATTTTTCCAGAAAAGTCACTCATGCTCATCAAAATTTTCATTTTTTCAATCTTGAAAAAAACCTCTTTTGCTAAAGTATATATTTTCAAATAAACGCAACTGCAAAACATTACAGAAAGAAAAAACAATCAAAACATCCAACTTCTGAAAAAGCTCGACTTAAGGTACTATAAAACTTTTTGCTTCAAAACTGCTATATTGTTTCTAAGAATTCTATAGTGCTTTCGCCGTTGAACGATATACTTTATCATTAAAATTGAAAACATAATCGTCTTTAACTAACTGCTGCTTCTAAGTGCAAAGCTCTATTCAGAACATTAACAAATATGTAAAGTCAAGGTTTATATCTCCGTTAAGCCTCTTTTTCCAAATGAAACAGATACAAGGAGATCTACTCCTGCTATACGAAACAGGTCAGCCTTTATGTCATTTATATTTTGTAGCCATGATAAAAAAAGTAATCAAAAAAGGACTGTGTAGTACTTGCGGCAAAACTCAAAGATGCTAATTACGTCCCATATTTTCCTTTCTTTTCGCTTTCAATACTTAATAATCATCAACCTTAGCTGGCGTATCCAGTCTCCAAAGTGAATTAAGTTTTGACGTATTTATTAAACTATCAATGCAGTCATAAAACTCTAAGCACAAAAGTATTAACACCTATCTAGTTATTCTCAAAACCGAATAACTCTAAACACATCTTAAAATGCTTTTTTTGATTATTATATCTAATTTTTTCTTCCGGTTACTTCTTTTATTATTTTTAGCTGAGTAGAACAAATAACAAAGAAAAAACCTGTTGATCTAGATGGTTCTTGATGCTCTTAATCTACTAAATTTTTTCGAATTGCGTCTTCTAAAATTACTGAGAAGTACCCCTTAATTAACCATACTCAGATACAAAACTCTTGTAAAGCTTATTTCATAACGCAAGTTTTGAATGCGAAAACACACGCTACAGTATATCCTAATCCAAATCAAGATGGAAACTGACTTATTTCTAATACAGAAAAAGTATTTAAGATTTAAATCACATCGCTGCTTTAAAAGAAAAGTATTAAATCTGAAAGCAATTTTTGGTGAGTAAAGGTTTTTTCCAGTAATTCAGAAATTGCAGCTGTATGGAAAAATTCAATTGGGAAACACAACAGGAGAAGAAGTCTACAGATAATCTCAGCAGTCAAGCTACTCTAATGAGAAAAAACAAGCCAAAATCGAAACGTAATTATAGCAGATTTTTCCTCACTACGGAGAATATAAATGATTCTTCATCCCACTTCGCTAAAATACAGCATAAGCCCCACAAGCTTTCTTAAAAGAAACAGTTGGAATACGTAACCCGTTGGGATCAATCAAAGCCGGCAGCTTAATCGAGCTCTTTATGTTTGACAGGATAAGGAACTTTCTTTTACCAGATTGCTGAAACCTATGATGCAAAATCAAGTTGCAGTTGAGTAATCCTACAGCTTCTCAGAAGCTTTCAGAGTATCTTTCTGATACTGCCGTGATCCTGAAAAAAACGACACAATAAAGAGACACAATAAAACACGTATAAAAAACATTAATTCGCTGTCACATGGAAGAACAAACATATTCTTGAAGCTTCCACTACATGTAACTCAGCCAAAATCGATGTTACATAACATGCCGGTACCAGTTCAAGAAAGAAATGCTCAAAATATCCAAAAATTTGATCAAAGCAAACGCATCAACAGTTAAAACCCCGTTTTAATGCATGCCGTCAATTTCAGCAGAAATAATAAATTTCGCTAACACTGATAAAAGTCATTCCAGACTTCTCAAATGTAGAGCCACCGAAATAAACTGATTAGGGTCAAAAAGGTAAAAGCTAAGCCATGTACGATCGTCCGTAAGCATTTAGCAAATTTTTTCTTCTAAAACATTAAGCTTACAGAACTGTCAATCGGACAGTCCATCACCAACGGTGTTGGTACTTATCAGACAGATGCAAGCACCAAGCAAGAGCTTGACACTTTAAAAAGAACGAGAAACGACAAAATGAAAACTTCTGAAGACGGGAATTGTTCAAATCAATTATGTATTCTGCCGTAAATAAGCAAATGTATTGTGGAAGTTCTTGTTTTGTTGGCACTGCGCCAAGTCGAGTTAAGCCCATAGCAGAAGTTCACCAGCAGATAGTCTCTAAAGGATTCCTGCTAGGCTGACTGCTTATTTAGTCGCTTTGTTCGATTGCTGTCGTTGGGTATTGTACAATACTGGCTGCGACCGAATGAATCGCTTAGTTCCTTACTATTTGATGTTGTTGTTGACAGCTCTGGTGTATAAAACAAGCAAACTGAGTTCCTCTTTGCATTATATGGCAAATTTACTGCAAGACTTTGATGAATTTCTGGATCCTAAGCAATTTTTCTTGTTATCTGTAATACCGCTCTGCTGGCAACAGTAAAAAATTGCAAATGAATTTCCAGTCACTGTTTTTTCTAGACATATATTTATTATTGTCAGAAAATATTTGCTCATTAACTTAGCTGCAGATGAAATTCTGTTACGATGGATGTTATTTTTCATTGTTATTACTGTCTTGGCCTCTCATCATGATTGCCTTTTTTTCCAACAGCTATTGTCTAAAAAAATTCTGTTTCGTGAACGCGCAAAACTGTTGAGTTTTTTCAGAGGTGCTTATGGGACGCACTTGTCCACACTGTGGAAGTTCGGAAATTGACGATGACTCTGCACGTGGTGACTCAACATGTATGGCTTGTGGTACAGTACTTGAGGAGTCCACAATTGTTTCTGACGTAACTTTCCAAGAAAATGCTGGTGGAGGACATTCACTTGTAGGTAAGTGTAAAATTTGAATACAGCTTTCTGGTGGTACCTGAGTTTTTTTTTCTATAAAATTTTAACTATATTTTCAACAGGTGTATTGTCGGTATAGTTTTTCATATTAATGTATATTGAATTTATGGTCCTCTTTTTTAACGGAGACTACATCTTCGTTGTTTGTGACTTTAGGTCAATTTGTCTCTAAAGATCGCGCTCAGACAAGCAATCTTCCTGGAGTTTCTGGTTTACTTCATCAAGAATCTAGGGAAGTAACGCATGCGAAAGGAAGAAAGTTGATTGAAGAGGTCCTTTTTGTTTAATCCTGTCAGGATGTGGTATTTGAAGCATGTTTGCGGAGAAAGGTTTTATTTAGATAGCAAGCCAGCTGAGGATAAGCCAGCACTGCAAAGACACAGCTTTTAACTTTTTTAAAATGTGTGTTGCGCGCAATTTAACTCGAGGTCGGGTGCGATCTCATGTCGTTGCAGCTTGCTTGTACATGACTTGTCGATTAGAGAATACCGCACATTTACTTTTGGACTTTAGCGACATTACGCAGGTAATGCATGCTAGATTCATCTTCTTTTCTTCTGCTGTTGTAATGGAAATTTTGAAATCTTATTTTTCTTGGCGATTATCTCTGCTTATGAATAATTTATCTCAGGTAAACGTGTTTGATCTGGGTCGAACTCTGAATTTCCTTGCTCGATCGCTGCGAATAAATCTTCCAACCACGGATCCATGTCTATATATTTTGAGATTCGCTGTTCTTCTAGAATTTGGAGACAAGCAGAAAGAGGTTTTTACGCCTTTTCGTGTCGTTACCGAAATACTCAAATAAGCTTACAGGTGTATAATCATCAACCAAATAATTTTATTTTCTTTGCTTAGGTCGTTACGCTTGCTACTCGCCTAGTCCAGCGCATGAAACGTGACTGGATTGCCACTGGCAGACGACCTACCGGTCTTTGTGGGGCAGCCTTGGTTTTAGCAGCTAGATCTTGCAACTTTAACCGTACAATTGCGGATATTGTCAGAGTTGTTCATGTTAGTGAAGCAGTCGTAAGAAAGCGGTTGGATGAATTTGGGCAGACTCCGTCTAGTTCTTTAACAATTGATGAGTTTGCTAGTGTTGACCTGGTAATGATCTTCTTTAGTGTAATATCAGCTTAAATGAGTAGTTTTGTCAGTGTTATTTTATATAAAGGGTTTAAAAACTTTATTGGATCTTTAGGAACACTGTGAGGACCCACCAGCTTTTCAAGAGGCACGAAGGAAATTACGGGCATTACAGAAACAAAAAGAGGAAGAAACTATCAAAAAAATGGAAGCGCAGGCAATGAGTTTACAATGAAACATTAACTAATTTAAATTTTTTCCTGCTTGAATGAAGACAGTTTTAATTTAATTTTTTTAACATTTAAGATGCAGCCTCTGGAAAAAGAGGTCGAGATGGCGTTAGAGAAAAAACGAAAGGAGAAGTTCAAGAAGACCCCATATGCGAAAATGATGGTTGGGTCGCTCTCTGAAGATGCAAGCACTTCTTCAGAAATGGCGGAAGCTGAGAAAATGGTCTGCAATGAAATTGTAGATTACGTTTTTGATGCTGCCGATGAGTCTGCTGCTGATGCGTAAGTGGTTTGTAGCAGTTGCAGAAGATTAATTTTTCATATTTGTGGCTCTCACTTTTCTGGAAATGTCTCTAAAATGTTTAAAACAGTGGTGTTTGTAATGTTACTGTTCTGAATTTCGTCAGGCTGTCTGACAGATCTATTCGTTTAACTTTTTTTAGACCTAAATCTGGTATGTCCTCTTGTTATGCCCCCTCATTAGAAAGTCTTGGTATTAAGAATCCTTTGAAGCCGCAAATTGAAACGATACCGGTGAAGAATTCCGATCCGGCTTCTTCTTCGCTGGACGATGAAATGGGCTTGGAAGGTTTGTTTTGGTTCAATGTACCTTTTCCTTTTTGGTGAGTCTTTGCTGTATCATAGTTTTAGATATTGACGATGAGGAAATTAATACGTATATCCTCTCTAATGAAGAAGCTGAGCTGAAAGCTCGATTTTGGATGAAGCTTAATGGAGAGCATCTGGCTGAAATGGAAAGGAAGTGCGCATTTTACTGTGAATTAACGAATTCCCAAAAGGATCTTTACTTTTACATTCTGTTGTCAGAAGGAGTGGTATTGGATTTCCTACTCCTATGGATAGCATTTTTTGAGCTGTATTTTATAAATTTGTATGACGCATTGAGAATGAATATAACTATTCATTGTGGTCAAGTAGGGTTTGTTCTTACAAGCTCTTGTCATTTTCTAATCAAACTTAGTTGTGGTGGTAAAATTAAGCAGTTTTGTTTTATTGGAAGAAGGAATAAAAAGCTTGCTGGATTTATATCATTTTTTGGAGAAAGTAGCGCTTTAGTTATTTTCAAGTGCCGCTCGTGTAGAAATTCCTACACTTGGCAGGGTTCCGAGCTCAAACGTTGAATTTGCAAAGGGAGGGGAGACGCGTTGCGCCAACGCTCTTATCCAATACTCATTTTCTCACTGTTTTATTACTTTTCTTCGTTTAGGGCTTTAGACCGCTAATGGCTACTCACGGAGTGTTTGTTACGTAGCTCTTTACTCAGTACGGTTCCGTACAAATATCCTAGCGTCCAGAAATGATATGTTTTGTAAGATTTTGTTTTCCAGAAGGAAACAGAGGGAAGATGAGTTGAAGCAGCAAGATAGCGAGAGCCAACCGAAGAAGCGGAAGCGGGCGTCTAATGGTGTGAGAAAAAAGGAACCTATTGTTGCTGCTACAGCCTTAGAGGCGATGGAAAAAGTTATAGCTGTGAGTCGTGTTTTGTGTTCTTTCTTTCTTGTTGGATGTTTGACAGCACAGTTTCTTCCCTTTTTTTCAAAAGGCGTTCTGGTTTTTCTACAGTTTCTGTCTTTTAGGCGTCTCATGTTTTCTTATCTCAGCCGTTTGATGGTGACTTTATTTTAGGAGAAGAACTTGTCAAAGAAGATTAACTATGATTTGCTAAAAGAAACTTTGACGGAAAGGGAGTTGCCGCTAACCGGCGAAGTATTGGTGAAACCTGTGAAGATGGAGCTGACGCCTTCCGAGTCACCAAAACTGGTCACTCATTTGAAGGAGTCATCAGAAAAGCGCCTACCGCTTTTACCCGCCAGAAGTAAAATGCTGAGAAAGAAGATTGCTCCTAAACTGAGCGCAGCAAAAAGAGAGCCGTCTTCAAATAACTCTTCTGGTTTAGCACAAAATAAAATTAGCGCTGACCTCTTCAACGTTCCAAGTGATTCAGCGTCAGCAAAGTGTTAGTAAGGGAAGTATTAACTTAATGTTATTTGCAAATTTATTTATTTAGTTTCTACAAATAATTTTTTTTGTTGCCGTTATATGGGAATATACGTTTTGTGTTATTTTAAGACTCTCGATCTCATTGTATTACAGCTCTGCTGTTGCGTATTTTTGATTAATTATTATTTTGATAATGTTTCATAAAAACGATTGGGGTATTATCTAATTAAAATTAATACCATAGTAATTGATACTGGTGTCTTAGATCTTTAATCTCGTACAGCAAAATCTTTCAGAATCCACTCCGCAGAGTTCTTTATAAAATGTTATAATTTGGTGAGCACGGTATAGTATATTTTTAGAATTTTTTAACAAGTGAATGAAAATTTTTGTGAACAGTTTCTTTTGTTGCATTAGTTGTTTCTATTTTCCGACTTGCAAGTTTGTACTTGTGAATTGCAGTTCTGAAGCAAAGTTCGATTTCTCTTCTAATGTTTAATCTACCGGGTTTTTGCACTTGCAAGCCGGCTTGCTGTTCTTTATAGGTTCTTGGATTTGCAAGTTGTTGCTAGTTGTTTTTTAGCTCTGTTCCCGTTGCTTGTTCGTATTTCTCTCGTTTTCGCATTTTTTTTTTTTGTTGAAAGACTTGTTTTTCCTCTAACGACTGACTGCGGCTTCTTTTGTTTAATGTTCATAGCTGCAGATGTGTCTTTTCCTTCCAAGATATCCTATTTATGTTTTACTTCTACTGTTTCATTCATAGTGGAGCTTTTTTGCTCAGGAGAATAGGGACGAGATAAACGTGGGCTGTCGTTTAATAAGGAAGTTAGTGTAGTGTTTGTGTAACCAAAAAAGTGAGGATATTGTTGCTATGCTCTTCTAAGCAATTAGATTAGTATGAGTAATTTCTGTGCATGTTGGCTTAAGCTTTCAACGTTGTCAACGGGATGGCTGCAATCATTCACTTCAGGACGGCTTCCAAAAAAAAGAAAGTTGTCTTTACATTTTTATGCTTGATGGAGAACTAAAACGAAGCAGGAGACACGTAGATGACGTTGACGGTCTGTAGAGGTCCGAACTTCTAGCACAATTTTGTTTCTTGTTTTCTGTCTCTTGGTCGTTCTGGCTGCTAACGGAGTAAGTAGTTGAAAGACGTTATGTTCCATTAGGAATTGGATACTGTAAGGTAGGGAACACGTAATGAAGTTTAATTCTACTTGGGCACGGACGCTTTGTTAATTAGTAGACTGATTTGTGAATAGTGCTTAATAGTAACCAAATTTTAGAGAATTGCCAGTTCTTGACTGCGCTTTTGTAAAGCCAAACAGCGAAAGGTGTAGTTTTTCTTTTGTGTCTTATCCTTCTACACCCTTATATTGTTCAGTAGTAGCCGGTGTTAGAAAATGAAAACAATGTTTCTGTTTTGCGTCACAAGAATATAATGTACAGCCGACTCTTGGAAATGATTTATTCTGGAGGAGCATCGTTTTACAGGAAGAAGCAAAAAGAAGCAAACGACTTTTTCCATATTTATCAAGACAAGCCGATTCATTTTTTTTTTTGAGTTTTTTAACGGGAAATTGACAATTATTTCTATTTATTTAAAAAATTTTTTTTAGATTTTTTTATAAATAATACTGAAATGTCTTCTGTTCCAAAGAATCAAAGTTTCTTTGTCAAAAAATTTCTATTAAGAAAACTGAAAAAATCAAGAAAAATCTAGTGATTTTTCTTTGAGACTCATTGCCAGACACAAGTTAGTCTACAGCCTTTTTGATCAGTGGTGTATTTGCCGTTTCTAAAGCAAGTTATTGAGGAGTGAAGATTTTTTTGCCGTTCTTTACTGCCCGTTAGTTTAAAATATAGTGGGTAATAATGTTTCTTGGTTTTTCAGGTTTGGCGAAAAAAGGAAGGGAAAAAGAGGGTAGGGAACAAACTGAAGCCATAGAGAGATTTTGAATTTAGACGCCGACGATTATAGCAAAACTGGGTGAGAGAGTTCAACTGTCTAAAATTCAAGCAATTACGCGGTTACCATTTTGAAGAATTGATGAAGGCTAGAGTTGCACTTTTCTAGAAGGGAAAATACTCGCACTTTTTGTGAAATGGAGGAGAATTGTTAAAACAGATTATCAATCGGTTTAAAAGAGCTCGGAAAAGATAGGGTTGACAAAGAGGGGGTAATGAAGAGAAGACAAGTGTGTTCTTTTGCAGTTTTAAAATTTATTTTTTTGTTCCGAAAATCGGTATTTTAGAGATACCACTGTAAATGATGTAATTGAAATTCTGTAACGTTTTATCTGGCATACAGTTTTGCCTCCTGTGGCAAAAATTAAAGAGCGGTGCTTTGTAAGCCACGTTGGTAATGCGTAGTTCGAAATTTAGGATAAAATTTGTTGTGCTTGTGAAGTATCAAACGAATATCATGCTTCTCAGCTATATAATGACCTTAGATAGGGAAGCTCCTCATTTATCTTTTTTTAACTCGTATTTGGTCAGCTGATTTAAGCGGCTAAAGCAGTTTTGTTTCTGAAAAACAATTTTCGTTTTTTTTCTATAGTAACTATAAAAGATGTAACATCGGAGTAGGAAGTGAAGAATAAGCACGAGAATTTAAAGTCTCATGTTATCTGTTAATGAAGAGCAACCTTAAAAGTTTAAAACTAGTTTACCAATACTTCTCACTTTTTTAAAATTTTTGAGGTGTTCATAGAACTCATAATTTCTTTTCTTATGCCGGTCACAGTTGTTTACCACGAATTTTTTACAGCATTTCTGAAAAACAGTTGAGATTTGCATTGCTTTTAAGTCAGTTTGTTAGCTAGTTTTCTTTCGTTCATCTTTATAAAAAAATTTTTTGCTAAGAGAAAAATGCAAAAAGTTTTTGTGCAAGAATATTGCGCCAGTTTTTTTTTTTTTTTGACTGTTGAAACTGTAATCTACTTTAATTTAAAAACTCATATCTGAACTTTGATAAAACTTTGACTGCTTTGGTCGAAGTAAAATCTGTTTATAAAATTTTTCTTTTCTCTTTTTTGAAATTTTAAAATTTATTTTATGTTAGTTTTGTTTGCTTAGTGAGTTCTTCTGTATTTGTACTACTTGAATTGTCAACCAAATTCGTTTTTGTTGGCAGTTGCTTTTGGGAGAGTTTCGAAAAATTATACTCTGAAGTAACTGTGAAGAAGACGGATTTGAAGAAGAGGGAAAATGTGCATATTAAACTAAATAATTTGTAACTAAAAATATTTTTGCTATATGTATTCTTTGTTTTGTTTTCTTCTTTAAAATTTGTATTTGTTTTTTTTTTTCTCCTTCTAAAATTTTTTGTTTAAGACTACAATAATTATCTGGTTTTTTGATAAATTGAAACCATTCTCATTAGCAGTTGGATTCTTAGTTTTGCTGTCGTCTTCTGGCAAGTCAGCTCTTTAGTAAAACTGTCAAATATCCAGAAAATTTTTTAGTTTCGGTACTAATATTACAACCAGTAAAGCTTTTCATCTACTTGCATCTAATTTTAAAGAATGGAAGGCAGTAATAAATAAATAAATCTACACATAATGTAAGCAAGTTTACACAAACTATTACTAGTCCTAAAGTCTGTTGTCCTTCAACCTTCTTTTGCCAAAACGAGCAAAACGGCAAAGGAAATTACTTTGTACAACTGACAAATTTCTTTAATTTTTCCTTAAAAGACTTGCAATAAGACATTGATAAGAAATTTCCTTCAAAAACTTTCTTTTCCATGGCTGTCTTTGGCTTTTTTTAAGTGGGAGAACAGAAGAACATGAAGAGAGTATTAACTCACAGATACCTGAGAAAAAAGTTGATGATTTCCTGTAAAAAATGCAACCAAAAAAATTTTTTCCTAAACAATTCTTTTCAAAGTGGACCTGTAATTTAAGTACGTTACATGATTGCTTAGGACTGTCATGTAAGTTCTTAGCAAACAGTTTTACAATAAAACATAGGTGACTGTGGATTCCGTCTGTAAAAAATTTGCAAGTAACTACCCTGCTGACTTTTAATGAGAAAAATCCTGCCTTCTGATGGAGCATCTATGTAGGTAAAAATATGAGTGAAAAAATTTAAAAACCGGATTAAACAAACTTCTTAACGATCAGGAATTAAAAAATCGAGAATGCCACATCAAACTAATTTTTAGTTTTCATTTCTGTGGCCGAATTATTTTGATTACCGATCTGCAAGTCGGTGTTTAACGTTTATCATTACTGACACTTTTCTTTCAGCGGATTGTCGTCTTTTTTGTTTTATAAAATTAAGTTTTCCATTCTTTCGATTATATTGGCATAGTTTCGTTATTTTTCTGCAGTACTATGTTTTTTTCAATAAAAAAAATTCTTTTAAAAAATTAATTTTTATTGGCATAACAAACATACTTTTGCGTTATTATCACGTGTTGCTATGATAAAGAATTTGAAAATATGAACAATTTTAATTGTCTCACTAACTTTTAGTTTTCATAGCAAACTGCAGCAGTTGGGTCTTTTTGCTTTACTATAGACGGATTCTTTCAAATTTTAAGCAAAACGGTAAAAACATACCTTATGTTAACAGTACAATTGTTTAGCGGTTTGGCTTCACAGCAAGTAAAAAGCTGCTATAATCTGTCTTAATCTGTCCTCTTTTGCCTACCATTCTATCCTTAAAAAAGAAAACAAACGAGAAATTGTTCAACCGAAATCGGCAGCAGTTGTCTGTCCTATACAAAATAACTTTTTTATAAGCTCTGTATTTAACATGGTTAACATAAATAAAGACTTTCCCAAAAATTCTCTCAGTGATCCTGCTGTTTTAATACAGCCTTAAAAAATATATGTATTCTGAAGGTCAGACATTAGTTTTTTATTGACAGACAAGTTGGTTTTACATTTTAATCAGATGTTAGACTAAGTAACTTTGTTGAATGTGTCACACAAACTATTACAGTGACGAAATAAAAAAATAATGACAGTTTTCAGAGCATCTTAAATGCAAAAAAAGGATTTAGTCATAAGAAGGTTTCGATGACACAGATTCCTACAATAAACCTCTTATTACCGTCTCGTCTCAAATGCTTCTGTTTATTTAAAAGCAATAACAACTTCTTCTGAATATCAGTGTATAGAAAACAAATTTTGGCAAAGGATTACTGCTTTTTATATTACCAAAATGAATCTTAATGAAATGTAAAACAATATTTTTTTTGCAGGTATAGAAAATGACCAATTATATAAACGCTATTATACTAATGATGGTGTTCGGTAAGTGAAAATTTTGGAAATGCAAATCATTTTATGTAGTTTCCATTTGAATATCTACAAAAGAAGGGCAGAATGATTCTAAAACAGTGAATTCAGTACACAGACAAAAATTAGTGGAAATTAATTTTTTAATATAAAGAAGGCAAACATAGAGAATGGATTTGTTGAAGGGTTAAAATGTATAAATAATTTAAATTTTTTGTCATCTCATTCTTTACATCACACTTTGATCTCATTCTTAATTAGCTAGACGTTTTATAAACAATTCAGAATTAAGTTTCAAGTGATTAAATGGCACCACTGACTAAAATTATTAAACTACAATAGTTTATTGTTAAGATTAAATGTTAAAAAATAGAGTCTCTATTGGCTTAGCTCTGCCAAATATGAAACGACTATTTACAGTGTTCCGACTTTTAGCATTAGCACATTCTAAGGAATACTATGGTGTATATGTTGGTAAACTAGAAAGCACTGATAAAGGCATAAGTGGACATGTCTTTCTCGCCAATGAAACCATCCTCCAAATCGTCAATTTCACTCATGAATCCGTAAAAGGTAGGTAATCTATAAAGGTTGTTTTGTATCTTTAAAATGGTATATGGTAATTAGCATTTATTTACATTTTTTTGAAAGGCCAGCAATACTGATGAAGGTCTACTGAAGTAAGAGAAAACCAACAAAACTTCCAATTCTTGGTAGTTTTAAGGCACAGAAATAAAATAAAATCTCATAGCAAAAACACTTTTAGTATTTATAAAAATATTTCAGACTCCGACAGCACACAACTACTCTTTTTCAACACTGGTAGGACGTCAAAAGCGAAAGCAGTTTATTTAGAACAGACGACACCTGATGGAAAGTTTATCCTGCCAATGTTAATATTTTTGCTATTTTGAAACATTAAGCAAAAGAATTTTACTGCAGAAATGCAAACTGACCGTTTTGCTAAAAACCGTTTTCTTTTTCACTTTTTAACGACGCTAAAATTTTGGAATTTGTCAGTTAACTGCCAACAGTTTTGGTATGACATGAAGAGCAGAACATCTATGAAAAAGTTTAAAAGCAAGTTTACAGTAAGCAACTTTCTGTTTAAAATTTGAGGAGGTTTCTCTAATCATTTCACAACCTCCGCCCAATAAAAAACTAATTTTGATTTTCTCTAAGATTCTCCCTAAAATGTAGTCACACAGCATTTTGTGCTGTTTTGATACCGTTTTACTAAAGCTTTCATGTTTTCCCAATACAGAACACCAGTTTTAAATGGTCCCTTCAAACGACAAACGATTGTTGTAAAAATCCCAGAGAATGTGCTCTCCTGGAACAGCTTTGCATTGGCCGATAACGAAGACCAGGTAAGCTTTTCTAAAATTTCCTTTTACACAACAATATAAATTTACTCACTACTAATTGCTCATCAGAAATGGCCCAATTTTGTACACCATTCCTTTTCATATATACAATTGTCTTTAATTTAACTTTTATTAAACCAT